TGAAGCTGGCCTTGTTTATGAAGACAGGCGAAACCGCTTGTTACCTTTCAATGCAGAGAAATTAATATTTATTCACCATAATTTGCCCTTAGCTACGTAGTACTATTATTTATTCTGTGCTTTAGCGCAGTAAGAGTACTAATTTCAAAGTTTTAAAATGAAAATTTTGTGATTACCGATTATATTTGTTAAGTTACATAAATGAAGTACTTAAGGTGAAACCTACGGACTGCTCCCAGCCATTCTCCCGCAAGATGGCGCTGAAGTCAACATTTTTAGTTTATTTGGGTTTTTCTGTAATTGGAAAATTATTAAGTCGTAGGAGTAGACTTTGCGGTTATCGGATATTACATTTTATTGGAATGGGTCATATCATTGCCTCAAAATCCACCCAATTCGACACAAAGTTTGATTTTAACATCTGCCATTGAATATAGTGTCGTTTACACACACAGACGTATCCCTACGTTTACGAAGCTGGAACTAGATGGCGTGTATGTAAAAAACAAGTTTTTAATTTTTCTGTATGTGTAGATTGGGTAGGTAGAACTACAAAGCGTTATGTACGATTGTTATAAAAATAAAAGTTATATTTGTTGGCGTAAACTATGTCAACATTCATTACAATATGACGCAGTTTTATTTCATTACATTACACTATTGAATTTTTTATCAAAACAGAAGTACCTATTTGAAGCAGCATAATTATACTGATACATGCCTATTATGCACGAAGCAAGCGACGAGATACCTGCTTAGTGTAACCAGCACTGGTTGAGCAACTCAGGGGCGGTGGGCGGAGCCACAGGGGTCGCGACTAGCGAGGTTCGACAACTAGCGAGGGTGCATACAACAACACAGAAAAACAGCCGTAGTCTTGGTTATTGTATTTAATGTTGTTAAACATGTATAACTTATATTAATATAAGATTTAGAATAAGATAATAAAAAAAAGAATGATGTTGTAACTATGCAATAACTCTCCCAATAAAGGCATCGAATAAATAACGAGAGTTAGCATAGATTTTAAAATGTAAATTGTACTCTTATAGTTAATTTACCTTTGTTGCATATCACCTTTATTGTATATTACCTTTCTTACATATTACCATTCATATAAATTACCTTTCTTAGGATAATTGAAACATTATCAGGGCATGTTATCGTGACGCGGCCGCGGAGTTAATGAAGCTACGCGTAGGGCGCCACGACGTTTTATATTTATAGTGCTGAGGTGCGGGGCAGGGTTCTCAGCTTAAAAATTGTAAATTACAAGGTTTAAAACCTTTTAGAGTATAAGATAATTATTATGTACATAAAAGTATAAGAAATAGATGTAAAAAAATTATATAATTAAATATGTTTGTTAATAAATAAGAGTTTTAAAGAAATAAAGAAAGGCGCGGGGGGTGAGGCAAGGGTCCGCTGGCCAGCAGGGGCCGAATCATATAAAAGACGGACCGGCCGGTAGTGTCCGTCGTCGCTCTCCAGCCACTGAAAAGGCACTACAAGAAGAAAAAAAAGTACAAGTTCCTCCTCACCGCCGCTTGCCTCCTATATAAGCAAGAACAACGCGTTTTATTCATTTTTCGAACGGCGTTACGGCGATCCGTAACACCTATTCACTCAAAACTAATAACACTGATGATTTGTAACAGTACCAATTATTACAATAATTAGATATTTCATAACCAACAAGTAAGAAACTATAATTCATAAACAAGAGATAACAACAAACACGATTTATTTTGTGATAATAACCAGGAAGTTTGAAAATAATATTTTCCAATTTCGAAGCACTCAACAAAAACTTTTAGTAAAACAGTTACCGGATATCTGTTACATCTCTAGTATTTACTGTCGGGCTATATTGTTTTGAAAATTGCAAATGGCATTGAAAAAACCCTCGTTCCTCATACCTTGCGTAGCTGCGCGCGTTGGACGCCTGATCAATTAGGATGCTCAAAAGAGGTTTGTATCTTTGGTTCCACGATCGTACAATCAAACCCATCGTACGATCATTATTAAGCATTTTTTGTGCTCACGCGATCACTTGCAATCTTAAAACTCCTCGGTCCCCAAGCGGTCGAATCCCACCACGGCGCTTTCCATTAAAATTTAAGTGGTCGGATTCGACCACGCACACCCACAGCACTTTAAACCATTAAAACTTATAGTCTTTTTGTAATGAAATAAAACCTGACTTTTATATAGAGAATTTTGTATAGATTTTATAATACCAAACTTCTTCATAGAAAAGTAGTCTCTAAATATAAGTTTTAATGGTTTTAAGTGCTGCGGGTGGGTGCAGTCGCATGCGACCGCTCGGAAAATGTCGAGCGTATGCGACTGTATTGGATTTATATTGGGATTAAGAGGTTAAGTTTCCTAACTGAAACTTGCAAGTCCAAAGAAATGTGTTCTTATTCTCGTCGTGCGATCGTTACCAATTGGGACGAAGCCGAACGAATGTATGTGTGCGTAGTAAAATAGTAGGCGTTAGATATTTATGAATGATAATCTGTTCAAATAATGCATTAACCACGCATTCAAGATAAAAAGGACAGAATGTTTGAGATTTTTTTTCATTAATTTTTCTTCACTATTCGCGTATATTACTTATTCTGGAACCTTCTCTGCAAATTTTGCCATATATTGCAAAATAACCATGTATATATATCCTGGCGGCTCCACTACACAAATCAGGAGACGAGCAGCAGTCTTCCTAATAACGACTAAAAATAAAAATAAAACTGCGGTATTCAAACCGTTTGCCAAGCGTGGCAACTATGGCAAAATCCCTCCTATAAGATAATCTATGGGGGAGGCCATGTTTGGACTTTTAAAGGTTGTAATGGAATGGAATGTATGCAGGTTTATTTTTCAAAGAGTAGCCAAATTTTATACTTAAGCTCAAATAGACATATGAATAATTATACGAGGGTGGATTGAAAAGTACTCGGCCTAACACAGATCCATTCAATTCTAAAAATCAAATCTACCCACATTATTTAGTTCAGTTCAGACTAGTTCATTGTGTGAAGTTCGAAACGTGTGCGATAATTAGTTGTGATTTTATAAATTTATTAACAAAGTAATCGGACATAATTTCCGCGAGTGGAGCAAATCGAACAGCGTGCCGTCATTAAGTACCTCCATAAGAAGGGGCTATCATCAAAAGCCATCCATGATGACATGGTCAGTACATTAGGCGATTGTGCTCTGTCATATTCATCCGTCAAAAAATGGATAGCAGAATTTAAGCGTGGTAGAGAGAGTGTGAAAGATGAACCCCGCTCTGAAGGCCTTCGACGTCAACTACTGACGAAAATATTAAAAAAGTACTTGATTTAATAATGGGAGACCGCAGATTAAAAATTAGAGAGATAGCCGAGATTATAGGCATCTCTTATGAACGAACTCAAAACATCATTGTCAACGAGTTGGGTTTCCACAAGGTGTCTGCGAGGTGGGTTCCGCGACTGCTTTCAGTTGAACAAAAAAGGACGTTTCACGCGACTGTTTGGAGTTATTTGAAGCCGATGCAGATGATTTTTTGAATCGTTTTGTTACTATGGACGAAACATGGGTTCATTACTGTACACCGGAAACAAAACAACAATCAAAACAGTGGAGAAGACCTGGTTCACCACCCCCTAAAAAGGCTAAGTCGATTTTGTCGGCAAATAAGGTGATGGCTTCAGTATTCTGGGACTCGAAAGGTGTGATTATGATTGATTATCTTGAAAGGGGTCAGACTATAAACTCTGATTACTACTGCACCTTACTACGTCGTTTACGAGAGGAAATAAAAGAAAAACATCGAGGAATGCTCAGAAGAAAAGTCCTGTTTCATCAAGATAACGCCCGTGTTCACACGTCAGTACAGTCAATGGCTGAAATTCACAACTGTGGCTTTGAACTGTTACCGCATCCGCCGTATTCACCTGATCTGGCACTATCAAACTTCTTTCTGTTCCCTAACCTAAAAAAGCACTTGGGAGGTCAAAGATTTTCGACAAACGACGAGGTCAAAGCAGCTGTAGACGCATATTTTGACTCTAAGGAAGAATCATTTTTTTTCATTTTTTTTTGGAAGGGGAGGTGGCAAAAGTGTATTGAACTTGATGGTGATTATGTAGAAAAATAAAAATATAACTGATTTAGTTTGTGTTTATTTTCTTGGTTAGGCCGAGTACTTTTCAATCCACCCTCGTATATGGTTATTGCAAATTTTGAAAATACGAGTAATTAAGGCTTCTACTTTTATTTGAAATTATCCCAAATTGAATGTAATTTATGGGCAACAACGTTTTTGCCTACCGATCGACCCTTAAGAACGTGTGCGTGCGCAGTAAAATCAATCAAAATAATGCATTACCACGCATTTTGAATTTAAAATATAAAAAGACCATGTTGGAGATTTACTGAATTAATTTCTCGTCACCGTTCAACTATATTACTTATTCTGAACCTTCTCTGCAAATTTAGCCGGTTTTTGCAAAATAACCCTGTATAACACGTGTTATACGATAATTCTAGGACTCTAAAACATATAATATTTCGTATTATTATTATTATTAAATCATTTCACTGCCTCGTTGGTCTAGTGGTTGTAGTAGTACGACTGCTGATCATGAGGTCCTGGGTTCGAATCCCGGGTCGGGCCAAAAAATTAATATTGAGTTTTTCCGTCAAGAAATTCTCAGTAGCTGCCCGGAGTCAGGAATTTGGCGGTGTCTCACCCCCGTGCCTCGGAAAGCACGTAAAGCCGTTGGTCCTGCGCCTGATCTCTCTCCAGTCGTGTCGGTTTACCGTCCGATCGGACTATGAGAGTGAAGCAATAGAGAGTGCACCTGTGGTTACGCATACACTTGGGCACTATGATACTGTCTTGTGGCGATGGCTAGCCTCCGTTGAGGCAGGCCGCCGTGACCGGAATTCGGTCTGGAGGATATTATTATTAATTCATTGTTTTATTTTGTTTTTTTAAGACTCACAGTGGCGAGGAGCTGCTGCATGATCTCCGGTCTCCGCTGCAGCACCTCCACGAACATGTTGCTAGTCTCCGGGGGAGCCTGACGTGGGTTCGTCACCTTGTTGCTCGCTGAAATACAACAAATACCTTTTACATTACTCTTTTCATTTCAACACTTTGACCGATATCATTTGTACATAAAAGTTAAAGTTATAGCCTATATACATCCCACAGCTGGGCACAGGCTTCCTCTCATTTCTGAGAGGGATTCAGGGTAAGGAAGTGTCCTAAATGCGTGTTGGCGAAATTAACATATCTTTGAAATATTTTTTTTTATTTCACAGACATACAGGTTTCCCCCACGATGTTTTCCTTCACTGCCGAGCACGTGGTAAATCAGCACTTTAAATTGCAATTAACAATTTTATTGGTGCCGGCGGGGTCGAACCCGGGTTGCTCGCGTACTGTGAAATTTGCTGCGAGCGTTTAGCTCCTGAGCTACCACGACTTTGTACATGTTCATATTTTCTATCATGTTCGTATTAGTAACGGCCTTCCCGATCGACGTGGGGCCCTAGTCGGGCCAAAACCACTTATTAATTTATCTCTGTCAAGACATTTTCAGTAGCATCCCGAGGTATTTCATCCCTGTGCCTCAGAAATCACGTAAAGCCGTTGGTCACTCTGGTCGTGTCGCATTACGGTCCCAACAGATTATCTGGCACTTAATAATATTGTTTGGTAGACTTACAGCTACATTAACAATAAATAAATAAATAACAACACTAGAAAGGCCATTTAAAAGTTTTCACCTATAGACAATATGAGCTTACAATAATAATTCCAGTTGGTAAAAGATAAACATGGATTAAAACAATGAGTAAATTGTGGTGTACGTACTTTGACAAAGCAATGTAACTGAAATATTAAATGATATCATTCAATGTGGACTCCATATAAAGAGTTCGCGTGTCTTTTTTTATAGAATAGGATGACAAACGAGCACACAGTCTACCTGAAGGTAAGTGGTTCAAAATGCAGATGCGTTGTCACCCGTGAGGACTGAGATGGAATGCATCTTTTCCTGTAAAAATGGTCTCCGGTTCTCTACACTCACCATACGAAACACAGCAGAATTACGCTTCTATTTTACGCCGGTATTCTGTGAGTGCGTGGTCCTTCCCCGGTCGAGCCGACCCATTCGTGCTACAACTACACTACTAATATAGCTGCAGCATGGCTCTAATACGTAAAACGTGGCTTCACGAAAGTTAGAAATAATATCTATTTAGTTCAATAATACCATATTATATTTATAGAAGAAGACACCATACACGTATCTCTTACCTGGAACCGTGTAAGACAAACCCTACCTACCCATGTATCTACGTCATAATTACTGTATATAAGTCTACTTCAAATCAATAGACTACAGAACCTCTTCTGTCGTCGAGCTGCGAACGCACCTTGGTATGTCCGTAATGCCGACCTTCATCGGGACTTAGAGCTCCCAACAATTCAACAATTTATTAAAAAACTCTCTGAAAACTTCTTCAAAGCCTCAGAGTCGCACCCAAATCAATTAATTCGTGAGGCAGCTTCTTATGCAGCCCCACCCTCCTCTCGCTATCGTGTCCGCAGGCCGAAAACTCTCTCTCGGACCCGCCTAATAAACTGTCAAACGACCTGAACTGCCTCCTGGCGGCTCAGGCCAACTCTAATTAAATTAAATTATTGCATTAACTAACATTAATTTGCCTTCGTAGGCACTCCCTCAGCGGCTCTTACCCGCCTGCGCCCTCTTTTCCCAAAAGATAATATGATAAGGCACAATACAGCTTAATCAGCCGGCTGCCTGTCCCCAAAGGCGGTTTTTAGAGGGTATCACTTAGGGTCCCCGGTAGGACAGTGAGCCCCTCATAACCACGATAGACCGGCTATCGTGGTATGCGTAATGCATTTTCCGCCTCCCTACGTATAGGGTAGGTAGCCCTTTAATTGCTTCGGGCGCAAAAAAAAAACAAAAAAAAAAAACAATAGACTATAGTTGTAAACTACATCAGCGAGTTTAATTTCTTACACTGTCCCAATATTACAAAATTCACAAATTTAACAGAAGAACACTCAATAAAAGATTTTTTTTTGCTAAAATATTTTTATTTTGAAAAACACTGGTGTTAAACAGATCCAGGCGAACATTATTAGAAACATCATTGAAAGTTTGTATCATAAAAGAATTTTGCCTGTATTTAGTCCGGGTTTTCAGCACATGGGAGTGAGCGAGGTTTTCGTATTAGGGTAGCTCTTGATGTAAAGAGTAACTTAGTCAGTAGCTCGGGCGCAGTCAACATAACCATTTGCCAATTTAAAATTTTTGTGCTTACGTTCGGACTGAAGCAAAATATGAAATTTTACCGCGAAATGTAGTTATCAGTGTAAAATTGCGTATTAAATTTGTGATGATATAAACTAAATGCGCAATAATATTTAATATGATTTGATTATGCAATTACAAATATGACAAAAGTGTGTCGCAGTAAATATCAGACTTACGAAATGTTTGTGACGTAATTAGATTCCTGTAAGTTAGTTTTAAGTATTCCTGGTTCTTTCAATAAACGTACGTACACCTGAGTAGTTGCGGTTTCCATAAACTTACCACTATCGCCAACACTCCATAAATTGCAGAAAACGTTAAAAACGCTTTAGCACTTGCTCAATCCTATCTATACGTGTTATAGTTTGGGTTCCATAATATAATAATCTAGAGAACAAAATTATTGATTAGAAAGAAATAAATGAAAGTTGGATAGTGTGCCATGTAGTGGCGGTGTAAGAATATCCGCTATCCCATATCATCCCGTGGATGTTGTAAGAGGCGACAGAGGGAAATAAAACTGGATGGGCAACGATGTCTTCCTGATAACGACTCAAAATGACGATAATAAAATGTAATAATAATATTCTTTGATATTACTGTATTTTGCTTATATTTATACATAGTTACCTTTTAAAATATTCAAGAAATGTCATATAGAATGTAATTCTGGCATAATAAATTATGTATATTATATTGAATTAGCACATACTGCAAAATTTTTAAAAACGAAAATTTAAAAAAAATGTACACGATACACAATATAATACTAAATAAACAACTTATTCAACATACTGACATCATTCCTAACACACTACGATTACCAAACCCGCTAGCGAGCAGTGTCGAACTATGCACGAAATCCCCCCAATATGTGGTAAGCGATGGGCGTTTCCGACATTCCGAAAAGTTATGTTTAGTATATATAATATTGCTAAATATATAAATACTTACATTTCTGAACTAATTGCTTAAACAGGTACGTGACTATATGGTCCAGGGTCGCACAGCAGCCCGTACACACACTCGTGTCTGAAAACAAATGGACGAACAATATTATAATTCACCAAACCATTCGACAAATTCCTTACAAACACATTATCTCTTCTCTACATAGTATAAAGTCGCTTCCCGTTGTCTCTACACTTCATAGACTTATACTACGTATGAACCGGGTCATTGAATAAACAAAATTGCACCGACTCTTTTTTTTGTTTGTTTTTTTTTAAACGTTACCCCTACACTAACATTTTCTCTTGTATCGTGGGGGCAGTTTACAAACATAAACTGCACAAGGAGAAACATCCAGACCCGGAACAACTATATGTAGGCCATACAAATACTTGTTCCGCGCGAGATTCGAACCCGCGACCCCCAGCGCAGCTACTCATTGCTAAGCCACTGCGCCACGGAGTCGTCAAATCTTTGGTGCATTAATGTTTATGGAGCACCAACGCGAGCACCAATGCGTGCAGTGTTTCCACTTTTAGATACTTTGCACAATTTTAGGTTAAATCTACTAATATCGGTAGAGCTTTAGGCGTTTCTTCAAGTTGACAGGGTTTTGGATAATTTAGGGTAAAATCGAAATTCAGGTAACCCTGTTTTTTTGTACCCACCCAATGTAATTTTTTTTTAAAGATTTACCGAATAAGATAGGGTCAAAATAGCTAGAAAAGTGTAGAATCAAAAAGTTTTAAATTTTGTATATCGGAATAATAGTGTAATATTTTAATTAGCTACATATTCGTTATTCGAAAACGGGCCAAATTAGGGGTACCCTTAACCGACGAGCATGTATGCGTAGGTGTATGGATGTGAAGGAGGCGAGAGAGGTGTTGTCAGGATCGTGCCAAATGGAAGTCTGTAGTCTCTGCCTACCCCTCTAGGTGACAGGCGTGAGTGTTTATGTATTTATGTATGTATGTATGTATATTTGTTATACATATGAAATTAAGTGTTATTAAAATTTGAAAATGAAAAGTTCTTCATCACAAAACTAAAGATTTTTAATCGTGAAATGACATTCAAATTTTGCAGTGATGTTGTTCTTTCAAATATTGCATATCAGGTGCAATAAATAAGGCTATTTTGATTATTTTTGCAATAATTTAGGTAGTATTTTTACAGTTTCTAGGGTAAAACCAAAATTATAAATGGAAACACTGGTTACGTGGTAGTTCATGAGATCATGAGTATTTAAGAGATGGCGCTGATTTATTCTATGCTTAAAACGTGAAAAATTTTTGTACACACGACCATATCTTGTCATTTATATGCATGGTACGCTTAGATCTTTGAAACTATGCAACGGATTTTGATGCGGGTTTCATCAATAGACAGAATGATTCAAAAGGAAGGCATATATGTATAATATATGCATATGTTGAGATAGTTGTTTTGTATGTGTGATTGCCACTGAACTCCTCCTAAATGGTTGGACCCGCTTTGATGATTTTTCTTTGCGTGTGTTTGTGTGGGTCCCGGGATGGTTTGGATTGAATCCGGTAGGTGGCGCTGTTGTCGAGATCCAGAAATCATCCGTGAGAAGCCAGGGTGGATCGCTAGTCTATACATATATTTATTCCACCCATACCCCATACCGATTATTCTATTCATACCTTTCGGCTTGAGCGCATACAAAAAACATTTTTACGGCATCTTGCCTTTTCAACATGAAAATAATATAAAAATGCATCGTATGTTGACAGATTAAAAGACATTTAAAATGGTCTCACTGTCTAAACGCCGGGATATTCTGGATTTGCAACTTCTATATAAAATATTTGGAAATTAGTTAGATTGTCCTTTATTACTAAATAAATTTAATTTTCGTATCCCAAGTAGATATCCTCGTGACTACATTACTCCTCTTTCGCCGCCCTACTAGGAACTGTACTAGTATCTATTTCCCCAATACCCAGACTTTTCAGAGTTTTAAATACCTATAATAATGTAGTAGATATTTACCACGACTCTTTTAACGTTTTCGATACAAAATTTATCAAATTATTAACATTTCTTTGTAGTATTTAATTTTTTTTTGTATTAATTTAATTTTTTTAGTTGTGTATTGTTTATTTTTAGCTATTATGTAAAGGCTTGTAGGAAATGCTGTGAGCACTAAGCATGCGGTGTTTACCAGTTTATTGAATGTACACTTAGTTTATATCACTGTCTTAGAATTAAGCAAACGTATTATGGTTCATAAAAAATAGCTTGATCTCTGCGACAGCTGTCAGTAAAAATCACGCATATGAAGTCCTGAATATGCACTAATTAGGTCGGCATGCCCATAAAGTATGACATTGACAGGTACTGTCAGTACTACTAAAAATCAGGACTTCATAGGCGTGATTTTACTGACAGCTGTCGCAGAGATCAAGCTATCTTTTATGAACTACAGTGTAATATTTGTTCAAATAAATAAAGTTAGAAGTGTCTGTTTGTAATATTGAAATTACTGACTTCTATTAAACTCAGGGGGCTATTTACATACTTCTAAGAGATACATAATCATTTATATAATTTTTGTCTGTCTGTTTCTTGGTTATTTATACTTCACCGACTTGAAGATGGTCCTTTTTTATAGAACAAAGGTGACAAACGAGTACACAGTCAACCCGACGGTAGTGTGATGGGAAGTGCTGTAGCCCGTAGACATCTACATCTATCCTTGATGAAGATGCGTTTGTCATCTCTGAGAACTAAAATGGAACGCCTCGTTACCAGTAAAAAGGGTCTTCGGATCTCCACACTCACCATACGAAACACAGCAGCATTGAGCTGTTATTTTACGATGGTGTTCCTACGTGGTCCTACCCCGGTCGAGCCGGCTCATTCGTGCTACAACCATAATATAGCTGCACTAACCTCTAAACCAACGGGATCTTTAACTTTTCTTTGTTAGAATTAAGTATATAAGAACAGTTATATTTAGTGAATTAAATGAAACTTTCATTCACCTAACGGTTCAAGGTTAACCTTTGGAATGGCTGAACCGATTGTTGACGTTGTATTTTATCCGAAAAACTAGGAGATTCTTTTTAACCTCAATCCTCTTAAAATTCTCCTGTCAATTTACGACAATTGCCGATAATACGAAAATGGCGCAATTTTACGGTAGATTAAAAATAAAAATTCATAGAATAACTGACTTTTGTTTAGACTATAGAATAGAGAATTTCGTATAAATTCTATAATGCCAAACTTCTTTAAAGAAAAGTAGTCTATAAATATAAGTTTTAACGATTTAAGTGCTGTGGGTGGGTGCGGTCGCATGCGAACGCTCGGGATTTGCATGCATAATATCATATAATCAAAAAACAAAACTATATATAGGCATATTAATCATTACGAAAATACTTTATTGTATTTTGATACCAAGCGGATGTCGGTAGCGTGAAAGTTACTATTATTTCTATATATCATTCGAAATTATTTACGTAAAAAGATAAATATTATTCACACAAAAACTTTCATAACAATTTTATAATATAAAAAACTGTTGTTAACTTGAAAAATCCAAAAATCAACGTAAAAATGTACAACAACGAACACTCGACAGTGACGCACTTTGAATGTAGATTATAAATGTATATCTATAGACTAACTGAATTTTTATTCAACTAGAGGATAGAAAATTTCATATTGATTCTATAACGCCAAACTTCTTCATAGAAAAGTAGTACCTAAATAGAAGTTTTTATTGGTTATAGTGCTGTGGGTGAGTGCGGCCTCATGAGACCGCTAGCAGAATGAGTGGTTAAAAAGCAAACAAAAAAAAATTAAATGGTCTTTAATTACTTTAAATTTAAATAACGTCTCATTAGTACATCCTATCCAAGTCGCGGCGAATCGTTTGTGATATTTAAATTAGATTTGCAACGAGTACTATATTCGGTCACACGCCGAATACCTAATATTCTGCGGGCTTCCTGACCGAATAACCGAATACTTTTTTAATTGTTTTATAACCATACATATTATATAATAAATATATTTTTAAATAAAATGTAATAATAATGATCTTTGATATTACTGTATGTTCTTATATTTTACATAGTTACCTTTTAAAATATTCAAGAAATGTCATTAGAATGTAATTCAGGCATAATATTATGTATATTATATTGAATTAACACATATGCAAAATAAACGAAAATTTAAAAAAAAATGTACACGATTAACAATACAATCTAAATAAACAATTATTACATACTGATCATTCTATTTACGCATAATCCATGATGACAATTTTCGCGCGTTTATATCAACTGCGCGACCCCTATCTCCTGCGCATGCACGAAGACAGAGTAGTGCACATTTTTTGTTTGGAATAGCTCCTCTATAGGCTGTCAACGTCGTGCAGTCCGCGCCCGCGGGGTTACAGGGGTTGGCGAGGACGAGCTAATACGGTCTCAAAGGGGAAACGAGCGGTATGCGAGAGGACGAGCGAGCACGCCGCGTGCTCCGGAGCGCCAGTCGCTGGTGTGCGCCAGTGATCGCTTGCAACGGTCACTTATATACTTGGCGCACACGAGATTACAATCCGAAGATGAGCAAACCGATTGGACGACAATGAAAAGAAATTGTGTATAACGTATACATGTATTTTAAAGTAACGTATACATTATATTAAAAGCTTCCTCATGAATCACTCCCGTCTATTGGAGAAAACCGCATGAAAATCCGTTCAGTAGGTTTTGAGTTTATCGTACAGACAGACGCGGCGGGGGACTATTTTATAATATAAAGTGATTTAATATTATATCGAATGCATCACTACATCACACAATACTTCGTAATAAACCTAAATATATCCATATTAATCTCAAGATAACTCGATCCCAAATCCCTTGTGTGCGCCCACGGCTACACAAGTAGCCGTGGGCGTGGCCTCGTGCACGAGCTGCGTGCTACCTCGTCCCTCTCCACCCTGTACCCCGTGGGCGCGGACTGCACCACGTTGACGGCCTATAGTAAGTAGTACATATAACTCAATGGTAAAAACCTGTTGTTCTGACGTTACAAACAGACATTTCAATTATGTTTGTTTGTATAGATAGATTCATCAATCATCACTGTCAAGGGTACGGACTACAGAGAATTGAAAAGGCTCACCCAAGGCGGTGAGTCCCTCGGAGACGGAGGCCAGGATGTAGAGCGTGGCGTCGGGCTGCAGCGAGGCCAGGAACGGCATGTGATCCTGCGCGAGCCGCTCCAGCAGCACGTAGTATGTCTGCGACAGCTTCGGGTACTCCTGCAACCACCCCCACCACACGCTCCTCTACGTTACGTCTACGGCTACAGAGTCTCCGCTGAGACTGGAAGCTGTGACCGTAATTTGGTCTCTATCACTGCATTTACAAAGCACTTTGTGACAGTCAAATACTGTCGTGTTGATGATAAGTTCAAATAATCAAGTTTATGCGTGGTAGAGCAACGCTACAACTATATTATGGTTGTAGCACGAATGAGTCGGCTCGACCGGGGAAGGAACACGTACCAGCGTAAAACAGCAGCTTAATATTGCTGTGTTTCGTATGGTGAGTGGAGAGAACCGGAGACCCGTTTTACTGGAAACGAGGCATTCCATCTTAGTCCTCACGGGTAACAACGTATCTACATTTTGATTGTTAATCGAGGATAGAGGAATCGAGGATAGTTTATGGGCCACAGCATCCACTTACCATCAGGTGGACTATTTGCTCGTTTGTCACCCTTATTCTATACAATAAAAAGGTTTATGAAGTGGTTCTGGATTGCCATGTGGAGGTAGCGAAAAAATTAATCAACCAATTTTGTTCCGAGGATGTCGTGAAATGTGATTATTGGAAATTGCTATAAATCTTGTCACTTTCGATAGATAGCGTTATAAATCACAAATTACAATAGTATTTCAGCCCTTCACAAGTCCACAGCTGAACATAGGCCTCCTCCAAGGTATGCTACAAAGCACGGTCCTGAGCTACTTGCATCCATCGACTTCCTGCATGTCTTACCAGGTCGTCACTCCAGTGGGAGCCCGCTCTACACTTCGCCTATCTGTACGAGGCTGCCACTCGAGAACCTTTCTTTAAAATTTACAAACCTTTCCCTTAATTCGGTATGGAGGCAATTATTATTATATTTTATTATTCCTAAGTGTCTACAAATTAAACTTTTATAAAAAGACAGACTAAAAAAAGAATAAAACAATTGCAAAAATGTTCACATAGTTATCTTTAATTCTTTCCAAAACGGGTTCCATTCCCGCCGGCACCAAAGAAATTATTTATTGAAAATTAAGTGCTGATTTACCAAGTGCTCGGCGGTGAAGGAAAACATAGCGAGCAAACCCGAATGTATAAGAAACGAAGAAAATAATATTTCAAAGACATTTGAAGTTCGCGAGCATGCGGCGGACATTTACCATATAACCCTCTCAGAAAGGAGGAGGGCTGTCCCTAGCAGTGGGACTCGGGTTGCCGGATGGTCGGTCGACGAAACCACCCGACAAAACTCAAAATCTCCAGATAAACCACTTATGTTCACATTACAGCTGCCTTTGATTTAATAAAAGCCGTAACACGGTCACAATATCTCTACACCTCGCTGGGATGCGATGCCCCCTTCGCGTCCCCCTCACCACGCCGCGCTCGCTCGGTATGGTTAGCATCTTGTTGTTTGTAGTGATGATAATAACTATTATAATACTAGCAATTTATCACTATATACAGGGTGTTAGTGTAAACACCGTTATCCTTGAAACCAGTAGTTCGGTTTCACTTATAGAACGTAAATTCAATAAAAATAACAAAATTTTTTTGGTCAAATCTCAATTTTTCCTTAATTCCTCAATTTTTGCCTGTCCTAAGCCAGGATGAAAGTATGAAGGAAAAGTTACATCACAGGTTATGTGTTTTTATTTAAATGTTGTGTAGATAGCTAGGGCGGACGGTGATCTTTACAGTGATTACGTCACTCGGGAGCATCTATGAAATATTATGAAACTTTTTAAATTTTATGAAAGAAAATAGTTTTTATTTTTAAATTCGGATAAATATTTTTATATTAAAGCCAACTACCTTTGGTTTTAGTGACAACGGTGTTTACATTTACACCTTGTATATAATTGGTAATTAATAATTGCATTTTTATTATCATCATCATCAATGTCACCTCTGTCGCTAAATAATAAATAATTTAGTAATAATGTAAGAAAATGATTTTAATAAAAATTATATTTTATGAAATTTACTGTTTTATTAAGTTTCCATCAATAAATCAAAACCATACATAGGATCTAGTTTTGTATTATTTATTATTATTCATTTATTAATTCATAAATATCACAAAATCTTCAATCTAAACTCCAAATACATTTACACCCGGCAGTCGGGTAAAAAATATCATATTTCTAGAGATTCTTATTTAACACACCGTATCGTGCATATGACGTCATCGAGCGAAGTGCAGAGATAATGTGACCGAGTTGTAAGTTAGTAACTCAACTGAACTTTGAAGGAAATTTTCAGAATTTTGAATATTATTTGAATACTACTAAAGGATCCAATTTGGTGTATTCAAAGTAAAAGTCCAATTACCAAATACTTGTGGCAATCTAAAAATTTAGTGTACATAAATCAGTTATGTGTCAACAATGTTAAGTCTTTTTGTACTTTATTTATTTAAAAAAATATTTTACATTTTCATTTTTAATATTTATTTCTCCCGACAACAATCCGAAAATCCCGACATTTTCATATCTTGTCCAGATATTTTAGTCTTTTGGCATCTCCATCTGGCATCTGCCATTCCCAAGTGGGACATATGTAGGCTGTAACTTTACTTAAAATAAAGTTACTTTACTTTAATGATTTCTTATATTTACGCGATTACTACACATTTAAATAATAATAGTTTTTACGGATTTTATCGCAAATATTTTAACTTTTTGTGAATGTGGCCTCTCCTACATAGGACAAACTAAAAGATCAATTAAAACCCGCGTCAAAGAACATGTAGCTGATGTGAAGAATCGACGCTCCGGGAAGTTTGCAGTCTGTGAACACGTACAGGATCGCCCCCGTCACTACATCAGATTTGATAGACCACAAATCCTCGCTAAAGAACACCGATTCCTTCCAAGAATGATTCGCGAGGCTATAGAAATCAAAAAACATCCTAATTTCAATAGAGAAGATGGCTGGGTGCTACCATCTGCTTGGGATCCTTTAATTAATAAAATTAAATCGCAACCCAAGCATACAACTGCTAATAAAAAAAAAAAAAAAAAAAAACTTCAATATACTATAAGTTCGTACTGCATAGATCGGAACAAAAATTAATAATTTTAATCTATGGTAACCGCAGTTAACTATGACATCTAAATGTTGAACGTCTCAGTCCCCCCCTCCCCGTGAACATGGGTGCCGTAAAGTTCTCGAAACGTCGGGTGTCTAAACAGTTAAATATACGCGATAAAATCCGTAAAAACTAGTATTATTTACTTTATTTTAATGTCTTAATACCGACTTTAGAAGCTAAAAGATGTAATCTAAATGTTCATGAATGATGAATCTTCAAGTCAAAAGTGAAGAATCAAGAGGTATTTTCTACTTCTGTAAGGTTTCTAGAACACTTCTAGAAAGACTTACCAGGAGATCATTCTGTGGTATACTGAGCAACAGTTTCACGAACATATTCAGTGCGTTGTCTAATGCTTCGTCACCATATAACCTGAAAAAAATAGAGACGATAAAGTTTTTTAGAGAAACAAAGGTTACAATCAAAACAAAGTATTGTGGACAAGTGGTAAAAACAAACATTTTGTGCAACAGACATAAAAATAAATAAAATGAGAACATCATCATTGTATTTGAAATCAATTAAATACGCATTATTAAGGATAACTCAAAAACTAATAGTCAGATCTTTATCAAATTTATATGCGACCACAGGAGAAGCACCAGCTTTCAAATAATGAAAGAATCATCAAAATTGGTACACTGAAAAAAAGTTGTGTGGTACATAAAAAAAACACATACATTCGAATTGAGTACCTTCTCCTTTGTTTGAAGTCGGTTAAAAATAAACAGAAATAGGCTCGGCAATGTACCTGAAAACACCGAAGTTCGCGTAGTTCCCGCAGAGCGCGGCCTTCAGTATTGAAAAGCAGAGGGAGATACCTTTCAGCTTCATCGGGTACATTTGCTTCTTGCTCACGTCTATGGTCAGTATTCTACTGCCTGAAATATAATTACACATAACATATGTTCATCGTCATCATCATCACCATAACAGCCCTTCACAAGTCCACTGCTGAACATAGGCCTCCCCCATAGATTCACCTAATAGAGGGGACATTTGCCATAGTTGCCACGCTTGGCAAGCAGGTAGGCAACCGCAATTTTTTTTATTTTCAGTCGTTATCAGGAAGATGCCGCTGCCCATCTCCAGTTTTGTTTCCCTCTGTCGCCTCTTACGACATCCACGGGATGATATGGGATAGTGGATATTCTTACACCGCCACATGGAAATATATATATATATTAAATGTAATCGACATCACAAACACCGAAATCACAATATTCTGGTAGAATTTTTTTATTTTATACAATAATGGTGACAAACGAGCACACAGTCCACCTGATGGTAAGTGCATGCTGTGGTCCATAGACATTTACATCTATCCTCGATTAAGAATCAAAATGCAGATGCGTTGTCACCCCTGAGGACTAAGATGCAATGCCTAGTTTCCATTGAAAAAGGGTCTCCGGATCTTTACACTCACCATATGAAACACAGCAGCATGACACTGCTATTTTACCCTGGTATTCTGTAAGAGTGTTCCTGCCCCGGTCAAACCGACCCGTTCATGCTACAACCATAATATAGCTGCAGTGTTGCTCTACCATGTATAAAAGTCTAAGATCCGTCCCGTCCATTCATTACAAGTCCATTGCTGAACATTGGTCTCCCAGTTCCTAACATTGCAGTGGTGACAGGTACGCTTGTAATGTTAGAGATCTAATCTCGAGACTCCTCAGGTGGTAAACGACCGCAAGATCTATCAATTAATTAACACAACACGTCTCCTGATTGTGTTACAAGATAGTGCACGCATCCTTTTATTTTACTAGGTATGTGGTGGTAATATTATTAGTTTTTTAAAATTTCGAAAACAGCGGTACCGCATCTAATAAGACTTCTTTCACTTGAAAGACCCTTATTGTATGGGAAACAGAAACTTTTTTATTCAATATAGAATATAGAAATATACAATATAGAATACAGTATAGAATATAGAAATATTAGAATATTCAAGATAGAAATAATACCTATTGAAAGTCACTTCTGTATTTACCACTGGTTCGGAAAAAAACCTGTCCTGGGAAGATCTAGCAAGAAACCCATCGGGACTATTTTTTTAAATAACAGCTTTACAATCTTGTATGTTTACAATTAACAACACAAAACAAATTAGAAATAGCTTGGTAGCGGTCGCCCTTCTCATGGGTTATTATCATCCATAAGTCCTTAATATTATAATAACCATTTTTAAACAAACTTAGTTTAATGAAGTTTTTGAACTTTATGTAGGTCAAGTTTTGTATATTTTCTGGGATTTTGTTGTAAATCGCCCCAAGAATGAATTACTGACTCGGTGGAGTCGAGTAACTGGTACTAGTACCTTGTGTCTGGTCCTAGTATTTACAAAACTAATATCATTGAATAAAACTATTATTGACGGATTTTATCGCGTTAAATTTCACTTTAATTTATTTTTATTATCCCGACGTTTCGGGTGCTTTACAGCACCAATGGTCACGGACGGGAGGGGGGTGGGGACGTCGGGATAATAAAAATAAGTTAAAGTGATAATTAAACGCGATAAAATCATAAGTGAACACTACACGTTAAATAAAATAAGTTTTATTTAACGTGTAGTATTCGCGTAAATTTTAGAAATCATTAGAATTAATATCACTATTTTTGTAAAACTACTTCTATTTTTGTGTACTTTTATGTATGTTTATAACAAGTGATAGTGTAGAGCGAGTGAGTGTTTCTGCAAGTTGCTGGTGAACAAGTGATAGGATGGGGCGAGTGTGTGTTTCTGCCAGTTGCTGGTGTCTCTGGCACTGACCGTAAGCACAGATGATGCTGGAGAGCTCCCTGAACAACAGAATCCCGTTGGGCGAGGAGACGTCGAAGTGCAGCCGTTGATTCCTGTTCTGTGCCAGTTCGGCCGCTAACTTCAGTAGAGGTGTGGTCACGGCCGGTTCGGAGTACCAAGCCTCCAGTCCTCGAAGCAACACTTTCATGTATACTGGGTAGCTGGAACAATTGGGTCAGTTTTTTTTATACAGAACAAAGGGTGACACACGAGCACACAGCCCACCAATAGATAAGTGATTGCTGTGGCTCATAAACATCTACATCTATCCTAGATTAAGAATCAGAATACAGATACGTTGTCACCCCTGAGGACTAAGATGGAATCTCTCATTTCCAGTAAAAAGTGTCCCTGGATTTCTACACTTACCACACGAAACACAGCAGTATTAAGCTCCGTTATTTTACACCGCTGCTATTAACTGAGAGAGTGTGGTCCTGTACCACAGTTTGAGACGACCCATTCGTGCTACAACCACAATATGAGCTGCTTACATGTGGAAACATTATGATTTTTATCCAACATGTCATTCATTTATTGTATCTCACCCACAGATTAGTCAATCATTAGTTGAATTTTTATCATAATTGCCATACTTGGCATGCGGGTTGGCAAATGATTATTTTATTATTATTGAGTTGTTATAAAGAAGAAGTTATTATTTCAAAGGCAAGATATGACATTATTTTCACAAAAATTGTAATCCTATCCTATCCTATCCTCTCCACTTTGTCATGAGGTCAAAATGCTAATCAAACTTTATTTACACGTAATGTGAGTTTAGCAAGATGTAGTCTTATCTTATAAGGGTAATCATATCACAGGATTTTGCATAATATCTGTTTTTGTTGCTATAATCTACTTTTATTTTATGTAGCTGTTACTTTCTTATGTTATTATGTGTTTATTACCTTATTTTTTTTTTATTTTTGTGTGCATATCACGGGGGTGCTATAGTCACTGCGTGACCAAACCCCTTTTTTTGAAAAAAAAAATAAAGATTAAAAAATGTTACTATATATTATTATTTATTTTTTTGCATCTACAGTTTCTTTTCCCTTTGTCGCTTCTTACGACATCTACGGAATGACGTAGGTTTGTATACATCCTACAATACCATTCTCTATTCTCAGTCGGTCTCTGTCAAAGCAATTTCATTTATCTTATACGTGGTAGAGCCATGCTGCAGTTATATTAGTAGTATAGTTGTAGCACGAATGGGTCGGCTCGACCGGGGAAGGACCACGCTCTCACAGAATACCGGCGTAAAATAGTAGCTTAATGCTGCTGTGTTTCGTATGGTGAGTGTAGAGAATCGGAGACCTTTTTTACTGGAACCGAGGCATTCCATCTTAGTCCTCAGGGATGACAACGAATTTACATTTTGATCCTTAGTTGAAGATAAATGTGGATTTATATGTGCTACAGCATTCACTTACCATCAGGTGGACTGTGTGCATGTTTATCATCCAATGCTATAATAATATACCGTACGAGGTGGTGTGTAGCGCCCACACGCACTTTAAGAGTATGTAGATAGCTTGTCGATTTCCACCGGAACGACTTAGCGGCACTGGTTGGAGTGGCAACATCACAATTCCAGCTACTGAGAATTCAAACTTCGGCGCAAAATTCTTCGGCAAAAAATTTGAAGGACTGGGGTTCGTCAAACCCCACCTGGTGCACGGAGGGCTATAGATTTGCATGTTTCCTGTTTAAATTCTAGGACACAAAGAGACACTTTTTTTGGATATAGATTATGAATGGGTGCGTTTGACAGAAAGAAGCGCCAGCAAGCGCTTGTAAGCAAAATGGCGAAACTAAACAGTTTTCGGCCAGGACACGTTCGCTAACTTCAGTAGCGCTGACACAATCCGCCATTTTGCTTATTTAATTTGTTTGTTTTGAAGTAGAGTTTATAAGTTGTTTTGTGCAATATTAGTTTTAAGTAATATAATGACATGAATAGACATATACATGGTTATTAAAAATTCATGATTGGTGAGTTTTTTGATATGAATACTTTACAAACATATATTTAAATTAGGTTAGGTTCCCCGCTTAAAACTAACTTCGTGTCCTAGAGGAAAATAGCTACTTACGATTTCACAGCGCTTACCGCTTACGATCGCCATTTTGCTTACAAGCCTTGCTCGCCCCAAATACTTATTGAAAGTCAGACTTTTGTTTAATTTACTGGTTTGAAGTAGCCGTAGTAGCTCAGATGGTTAGCGCTCGCTTTTCACAGTACGCGAGCAAACCGGGTTCGATCCCCGCCGGCACCAACGAAATTGTTAATTGCAATTTTAAGTGACGATTTGCCACGTGCTCGGCGGTGAAGGAAAACATCGTGAGGAAACCTGCATGTCCGAGAAATAAGAAAAAAATATTTCGCAGACATGTACAGTTCGCCAACACGTATTGGTGCAGGCCGGCGGACACTTACTTGCCCTAAATTACTCTCAGAAATGAGCGGAAGCCTGTGCCCAGCAGTGGGACGTATTTTATAGGCTGTAACTTTTAGAAAAAACCCTGTCCTGAGTTGAGACAGTAAAAAACCCAACGGGACTTTCTTTATTGACAAAAAAAAAAACAGCTAACAATCATATACGTCACACAATAAACAACACAAAACAAATTAGAAATAGCTTGGTAGTAATCATCTTTCCCGGGTGTTATTATTTTATTTTATTTTTATTTTAAAAACTTTATTGCGTCCCCTTAGAAAAAAAGGACTTAATGCCTAAATGCATTCTCTACCAGTCAACCCATCATTCATTAATTCCTTAATATTGTAATAACATTTAATAAAGTTTTTGAACTTTGAAGAGCTATTTCTGAATATATATTTCTGAGATTTTGTTGTAAAAGCGTTTACATCGGACTCATTAAATTACTGACTCGGTGGCGTCAAAGTCGGGGGTAAAAGATAGTTATTAATACCAATTTCCGCAAAGTAATACCCGCTTGTAATTATTTTAAATACTCACATCCAATCAAAGAGCATCATATACGTCGTCTTCGCGTTGAAAGCGAATGCCAAACCTCGCAAGTCACGCGCCAACCCGATGAGGGTCTTCTTCGCATCTTCCGAAGCGAACAGGGGATTTTCTGGTGGACCCAGGAGTCCGATTATGCTTTCGAATGCCGCTAAAATGGAAAAAGTATATAAATTTTTCATCATCATCATAATTAACATTATTTCAGCCCATCACAAGTCTACTGATCAATATGGGCCTCTCCCAAGGCCTGTGTAGTAGTACTCTTAATACGTGATTTAGTCTTAGACATACTCAAAGAGCATCATCATCATCATCATCATCGGTATTTCAGCCCATCACAAGTTCACTACTTAACATAGGCCTCCTCTAAGGAACGCCACAAAGCATGCTCCCGAGCCACCTGCAACCATCGACTCGATCTAGTGGATGGCCACCCTAAACTTCGTCTACCAGTATGAGGCTGCCATTCGGGAACCTTTCTTTCCCAACAGATTAGTTTTTCAAGCTATATGGTCATTGCCTCTTAACTCACTAATTGCCTCATAGGAGGATATTTACATAGTAGAGCCATGCAACAGCCATATTATAGTTGTAGCACGAATGGGTTGGCTCTACCGGGGAAAATCCACGCTCTCACAGAATACTAGCGTAAAATAGCAGTGTAATGCTGCTGTGTTTCGTATGGTGAGTGTAGAGAACCGGAGACCCGTTTTACTGGAAACGAGGTATTCTATCTTATTCCTCAGGGGTGACAACGCGGCTGCATTTTGATCATCACTTACCGTCAGGTGGACTGTGTGATCGTTTATCACACAATGCTATAAAAAAATTGCCATAGTCGCCCCACTTGGCAACATTCACTGGCAGATAGCGGATGTTATAAGGAGTAACTTAGGCTAATTTTATTTTATAAAAACAATTAGGGTTCCGCATAAAAAAAAATATATTTCGAAGACATGTGAAGTTCGCTAACACGCGTTGGGGCAGCGCGGCGGACACTTCCTTGCTCTAAAACCCACTCAGAAATGAGAAGAGGCACGTGCCAAGCTTTGGGACGGTATATAGGCTGTAACTTTACTTTTATAAAAAAAATTAAAACCCATGAAGTCCAACCGCAATAAATTTCACGCGGACGCAGTCGCAGGGAACAGCTAGTAATATATATATATATATATATATATATATATATTCAGTACACATATGTTTTATAGTAGTTTTTTTTTTATTTACAATGTTATTTTCATTTTTGGCACATATCACATTGTTTCCACATGTTCGGGGTAGACTGTGAGAAAATGCTAAAAGGCATTAAGTTCGCCCTTCGCGCTCCTTTTTATTAATACACAAACAGCCTTCTCTCTTCCAAAACTTCAAATAGAGAAGGCTACGGATTGTGTCTTCTGAGGACTAAGATGGAATACCTAACAGCGTGCAATTTTCTGACTCTATACCTTTCACACAGTTGAACTGCATTGAGGTATTACTACTACATGTAGAGAAGACAACGCCTTGCATGATTTTGGGCCACGCTTTGCAGTACGCTTTACCGCAACTGTTTAGTGAGTGTCCAACGCCCGCAGAGACGATTCGTGTTCGCTTCGCAAAAATAATAACTTCAAAATGCTTTGGTTGTGTTCTTAAAGACTGCAGTAAACACTCCACAACATAAAAAAAAAAAACTGATGGTTTAACATTTCATCGGCAAGTAGACATTAAAACGTTTAAAGCTCTTTGATTTATAGTTTTTCGCATTGTTACAATGCTCACGAGAATCGGGCAAAATGTAAAATGTATGGGAGCGACTTGTTGTACACTACGTTGAAGGATACGCGTAAGCGCCATAAAATCCCTGGCACTTATGAAGTTTTGGTCGTGAGAAAACTAATCCCTAATGCAAACTAGCGCTGCATGTTTTAATAGTTTTGTTAGACGACGTAACTATTATTTTAGCGCTGCAGCGAAATTTAGTTCTAACTCTTACCAAAATGAAGCAAACTTTTGGTTCGGGGTGTCTGTTCTATACGCTAGTAATATAGTTCGATGTTATACTGTGTGTTCGTTTGTCAATATGTAGAGGTTCTGTACTACACAAGACAAGACCCACCGGTGAGCGGCATCATGAAGGCGTGGAACCGCTCCTCGTCTTCTCCCAGCTCCACCATGAGGAGACGTCCCAGCGCAGTGTACAGCTTGGTGCGGCAGCGCATCTCCGACGTGCCCACGCCGGAGATTCCCAGGAATGGGAAGTGCTCGGCCTGGGGGTAGATAGAAACTAAAACTAAGTGCGAATTGTTATTTAAACGAGCTATTGTTACCTAGGTGTACACCAATGGGAACAGGGAAGATGTCAATAATTACAGGCCTATCTCGGTGCTTCGTTCATTGTAAATACTAGAGAAGCTTACCAATACAAGACTGGTAACCCACCTAGTAAAATATAACATATTGGCAGAATCAGGAAAATCTACCCAGGATGCTGTTTTACTACTACTGTGGCCGTGGAAGGAAAAGAGGAGATCTCCCGCCGGGCAAGGTGTTCTGCCCGGGGAGCGGCCAACACTATGGCGTGATAGTTCTAAGATGTTCTATATATACTGTTTATGATTCGGAATTTTGATAGCGTGATTTAGGCTTCGGTGTGTTTCGCTTACGCCGCGACAACAGCGCCGCCACACTACCACTCAACTAATCAGTTAAACAGTGGAGATAAATGCTTGACAATATTCTTAGACCTGAAATAGGCCTTTGACACTGTCTCTATTCCCATTCTCGTGCACTAGAAAAAAATACACATAGTATAAATTTCACGGCAAATGATTTTTATAAGGGTGACAAACGAGCACACAGTCTACTTGATGGTAAGTGGATGCTGCGGCCCATAGAAATCTACCATTATCCTAGATTAAGAATCAAAGCGAAGATACGTTGTCACCCCTGAGGACTAAGATGGAATGCCGCCAATATTTTCTTTCGAGTAAAATCGCTTTGCAATGCCATCTACTTAATTTTTTAGATAAAGTCATTTTATCGAACAAAAAGTTTATCGACTCTCAAGGCTGAAGAATTTTAAAAACATCAAATATGACCCGATGACATGTATTAACTATTTATTAAGATTATGGCTACATGAAAGTATCATGTTTACGAATAATCTAATATCAAAACTTTGGTCAGGACAATTTGAGACCAACAGGTTGTTATTATATTAGATTGTATAACGAGGTGGTACGCAAAAGTATGATATTGATGCGCGCCTCAGTTGATGCATCGTATATGGCCCTAGCGCCATCTGATTCTTTCTGGAAAATAAACTAACTTCTTCTTGTATCGAGTAGCAGAACTAAGTTTTACAGAAAATTTCTTGCTAGAACTTTCGACATTCCACTCAAACATTCTAGATGTTTTCAGTAGAAAAGGTCCTATATAAAGTCGGTAAAGACCGCAACCGGGGCTGTATTGAATAGGCGATACACGCGAGGACTTAGGAGCGAAATAAAGTGAACTAAAGTGCTCTAAGTGTGAATAATTATTATTAGTGTGCAGTGGCGAAGTCTCTATACAAGCCCAGAAGCCCGGCTTGCCTCATTAAGATGAATCAATCAATTATATCAAGTAATAAAGTAACTCGTAAACTGTTTCAAACTATTTCAAATTTCCCGCGCACTCTGTTCAACCTCGTAGCCTTACGAATACTGCTATCATACATATAAGGAGAGTTGAATTGAGCGATTATTTTCTCCCTCGCACGCGTGGACTTTTTACTGAGAGAAGGCGATCGCTCCCTTTCTAACCTATGGCAAAATGTTCTCTAATGAAATATAACTACGAAATGTTTATATAGCAATTACTATTGAGCCACAAGCCTGGCTTTGCCCTGAAGTTGTTTAGGAGTGCGTTAGCGAGTAGCGAATGGGGTGCGGGCCATTCGTATGCAAGTTCACTTCACATTTCAATGTTTGTTTGTTTTAGTTGTGTTTGTTAAAAACTTATGCTTTATCAAAGATTTTCAGTGAAAATGGGAGGATAATAGTGTGCATTGTGATGAATATAAGTGTGTTGAAGTGCTAATCGGCGAGGAAAAGGTAAAATCTTTAAAAATGAAATTTAATATTCAATAAACATTTCTTCACACTTTAAATATAGGTACAGGACTCTTTAGTACTAAAGTTTAATTAAGTTAGGCGTATTTAAAGGTTTAATAACACAATATTTATATTACCATATGAATTAAAAATATCATTTTGAACGGCAGCATAAAATATGAGACACCTAGGTTTAATTTTATAGGAAATAAGTGTTATAGGAAATCATTTTTTTTTGTTTTAATTTAATAAATCAAAAGAATACAGAAGAATGTATTGAGGTTTTTAAAGAATACTCCCTTTAGTTATTTCCACTATATAAAATTTTAATAGCACCATCTACTTAATTCTATAGGTAAAGTCATTTTATCAAACGAAAATTGGTTGATTCTCACGATGGTACCTAAAGATTACGCTAGATGGCAAAAATATGCTATCGGCTAATTTAATATTTATATTACCATATGAGTGTAAAAATATCATTTTGTACGTTTTATTATAAATTGAAAATGAATAATTATATTATAAATAGTCATTATTTTATGGTAAAAAATTAGCAAAGGATTACCTTCTCATTATAACTATCTAATTCCTGTCGCAATCTGTTCTTTTATGCATATAACTTATAAATAATTTCGAGGTTTCACATCTGCCAGGCGTCCTTTTTTAACTTTGTACATAGTTTGTTTGTACTTTGTTCATGTATTGTATTGTTTGTAAATATCTCAAGCAAACCCAAACGGCTCTTTTCAAAACCACCGAAGGTGTGCAATTGCATATTATGTCATACTATCTATAGCGGTAGTATGCTTTCTGTGTGCTTTGTTAAACACGTCCTTGTCAGCACTGAATATGAAACTAAAGAGTGGAGACAGCTCAAGATTGGTGTATTTTTATTAAACTGCTAAAAACAACAAAACCATATCTTGCGCTTGCCCTAGTTTGGAGCCCTAGCTTCGCCACTGTTAGTGTGTTTTAAGCTTTAATTGATGTTCGGTAATTAAAGTGTCAACTTTGGTAATTCAATCGGCGGTTTTTATTGTCACGAACCTTAAGCTCGTAGCAATATATGTTTGTCTCTTTTTAGTTACGCTTTTTCGTTTAATCGAGTCTCCAATCGCACCGATATTCAAGAAATTTTTAACCGACTTGAAAAAATGGAGGTTCTGAATTCGACTGTAATTTTTATGTGTTACCTCAGAACTTTTTTCTAGGTAAAGCGATTTCGATGATTCTTCTCTTCATTTGAAAGCTGGTGCTTCTCATGTGTAGTCCTTTATAAATTCGATCAAGATCCGACCAGTAGAATTTTAGTTATCCTTAATAATGGGTATCTAAATTGACTACGTTGATGTTGTTCTCATTTTATTTATATTGAAGTCGGTTGTACAAAATGTTTAGTTTTACCACTTGTGACTTCAAAAATCTACCACCGTGTAGAAATGGGGATATCTTAGAGAAGCAGCCGACCACTCACAGTGTGATGCGTCAACATGAACTGCACTTCCTCCAGCTTCACCAGCTTCCTCACGCAGGCGTAGCCTCCACTTAAGTCGCTGAGCAGACCGAGCGTCTTCGATATGATCTGCTCCGAACTGCCCCAGTACTTCAGATTTGTGATTCTGCAAAGTGATAACAATAAATATTAAAATTTTTAAAGTGTAGAGGCGGTTGAAGAATATCCACTACCCCATATCCTCCCGTAGATGCGTAAGAGGCGACAGAGGTCAGTCAGAAAATAGGTCAGTCGATCATAGTCAGAATAGGTACTTCACCTAAGTAGCTTAATTAACATTTCGCAATGTAATTTTTTACTCGTTATTGACATCCCTTAGTAATTTGAAGTCCGCTGTGACGTAGAAAGGGGAAAAAATGCAAAGTAATATGAACACTCACGCACAGCGATAAAGTTTTATTTAGCTTGCGTACGCGATTTATCTAATTAATAATAATTATGTAGGCTATTAAACGTCGGCAAGCAGACAACATCAAAGGAGTGCAACTTCTGTACGTAATACTATTATTTATTCTGTGTCGCCGTTTTGTGTATTATAATGACGTAAGAGATATGGTTATACCGCCACCTATTGGAAGCCATGAGAAGTCACCTCTTACAACACCAGCCTTCCTTCACATGGCAACCTACAAGCACTTCGTAAATCTTATCATCAACACGACATCATTTGACTTTCAAAAAGTTTTTTTGTGAAAACCTAAAATTAGGGATGTAACGATAGCGATACCGATATATCGGCCGACGTAATCGGCAAACCGATATATCGGCATCGCCGATTATATACAACTGATATGAAGATTAAAAAGCGTGCGAAATGAACAAGGCATGTGCGAAATTCTTGATCAGCTGAGTTGCCTGAGAGTGTCAGTTGTCTGTTTTCAACTGTAGCTCTCATACAAAATGATTTAGTAACAGATTATCTGCTAATAGTTTAAACGAACTTTGTTTTCTTTACAAAAATCTACCAAAAGTTAACTTTAATTACTGACTTTATCTTTTATATCGGTTTACTTTACCACTTTTTGTAATGAAAATTATTTTCTTAATAAGCGCTTTGATTGCTTGATAATATTCTTGAATATTCATATAAATAAATGTTTTCTTTCAATTTTTAATTGAAATTTTGATTAGATATATTTCCTTCTCAAATTCAAATAGAAAGATAAACAAATAAATAATGAATAATTTTCTTAATTATGCATAAAAGTTTATCAGAATAAATATACGTAACTTTTATGCATAATGAAGAAAATTATTCGGTATTTATTTGTTTTTTTTTTTTTTTATTTGTACTAAGCCACCGATAAAGGTATCGGTATCGCCGATTATTTACTATAATAATCGGTATCGTATCGGCACAATTATGTATCGTTACATCCCTATATAAAATTAAAGTTCCTTTAAATAATACAAGTTTTAACGGATTTTATCGCGTACATAATAAACATAACTTTTTTATAAACCCAATGTTTCGAGTACTTTACAGCACTCATGATCACGAGGGGACTGAGATGTTAAATGTCTAGATGTCATAGTTAACTGTGGTTACCATAGATTAAAATTATTAATTTTTGTTCCGATCTATGCAGTACGAACTTATAGTATCTTGAAGACTTGCAGTTGTATGTTTGGGTTGCGTTTTAATTTTATTAATTATAGGATCCCAAGCAGATGGTAGCACACAGCCGTCTTCTTTATTGAAATCAGGATGTTTTTTGATTTCAATAGCCTCGCGAATCATCCTTGGAAGGAATCGGTGTTCTTTAGCGAGGATCTGCGGTCTATCAAATCAGATGTAGTGACGGGGGCGATCCTGTACGTGTTCACAGACTGCAGACTTCCCGGAGCGTTGATTCTCCACATCAGCAATATGTTCTTTAATACGGGTTTTAATTAAGGAGCCTGTCAGTGATATTGAAACGATTGACTACTGTTAAAGCTCAGGAGGTTATTTGCATGTGTATGCAACAATTTTCGAAATCTTCATCTGTCTATCTGAGCTCAGTTTTGAAAAAATTGTTTGCTTTTGACACTCACATCTTCCTCATGAGAACGCTGAGCAGCTGGCTCTCGTCGTTCAGGCCCAGCACTTCAGACAGGCGGCGGTACACTTTGCTGTTCTTCTGCACCTGCTCCCCCACGTATATCTTGCGGAACTGCTCGAAAAATGACATCATCGCAAGCTCCAGCTTCTCGCAGCCGCCCTGAAATTAGTGCGGGGAAATATAAAAACTATTTTTTATAGGATAAATAAAGGTGACAAATTAGCACAGTTCACGTGATGGTAAATGGATGTTGTGGCCCATAGATATCTAAATAAAGAATCAAGATGCAGATGTGTTGTCACCCATGAGAGTTCAAATGGTATTCCTCGTTTCCTTCAAAAAGGGTCTCCGATTCTCAACACTCACCATACGAAACACAGCAGAGTTAAGATTATTTTAAGCTGACGACTCCGTGGCGTAGTGTCTTAGCAATGAGCGGCTGCGCTGGGAGTTGCGGGTTCGAATCCCGCATGGAACAAGTATTTGTATAGCCTACAAATAGTTGTTCCGGGTCTGGATGTTTGTCCTTGTGCAATTTATGTTTGTAAACTGCCCCCACGATACAGGAGAAAATCCTAGTGTCCTCTACACTAGGATTTTCTCCTGTCCTGTCCTCCTAATGTTAAAAAAAAACAGGTATTCTGTGAGAGCGTGTTCCCCGGTTAAACCGATCCATTTGTGTTACAATCACAATATAGCAGCAGCGTGGCTCTACCACGTATAAAATAACTAATTCTTACAGCGTTCAATTTTAACAACAGTTGAAGTCGGTTATTAGTTTCTGGCTAGATATGGGGTAAGAAATATTCTTACACCGACACAAATTTTATCTTTAATCCTTATTATAAATCAAATGGATAATCTCCATAGACATATATATAGGAATATATATTAGGAAACACTGTATACTTGTGTATGTGGTAGAGCTATACTGCAGTTATATTGGTAGTATAGTTGTAGCATGAATGGGTCAACTCGACTGGGGAAGGTCCACACTCTCACAGAATACCAGCGTGAAATAGTAGCTTAATGCTGCTGTATTTCGTATGGTGATTGTAGAGAACCGGAGACTCTTTTTACTAGCATTCCACCTTAGTGCTCACGAGTGACAACGCATCTGCATTTTGATTCTTAATCGACGATAAATGTAGATGTCTATGGGCCACAGCAACCACTTACCGTAAGGTGGACTGTGTGCTCCTTTATCACCCTATTTTATAAAAAAAAAAAACCTGTATTCTATCTCATTTTCTCAAGGCTATGTCCCTTCAGTTAACCAATATTGGAAGCCTATTTCATAATAAAAAGGGTTTCCGGTTCTCTACACCCACTCCACATACGAAACACAGTTTACTCTATTATCCGTGGGTGTCGCTGTCGTCAGAGGCGACAGATCGAAACTGATACAGGCAATGGGCAGCAGGGTCTTCCTAATAACAACTAATAAATATGAGCATGCAGTTGCCAACCTGCATGCCAAGCTTTGCAACTATGGCAAAATCCCTCTATTCCTAATCCCTACGCATGCCAAGCTTTGCATCAATGGCAAAATCCCTCTATCTCTAATCCCTATGCATGCCAAGCTTTGCATCAATGGCAAAATCCCTCTATCTCTAATCCCTACGCATGCCAAGCTCTGCATCAATGGCAAAATCCCTCTATCTCTAATCCCTATGCATGCCAAGCTTTGCATCAATGGCAAAATCCCTCTATCTCTAATCCCTATGCATGCCAAGCTCTGCATCAATGGCAAAATCCCTCTATCCCTAATCCCTATGGGATAAACAAACGAGGACACAGGACAATGGCCTAGAGACAGCTGTCTCTGCCATCACATCTACCCTCGATTAACAATCAAAATGCAGATGCGTTGTCATACCTGAGGACTAAGATGGAATGCCTTATTGCCAATAAAAAGGGTCTACGATTCTCTACGCTCACCATACGAAACACAGCAGCATTAAGCTGCTATTTTACGCGGGTATTTGGCAGTGGTCTTCTGACAGGCTGCAATGTATGAAAGAACTGGAAAGAATGGATACATACCCTCGACAATCTGGAGTCCGTGAGGTCCATGAGCTGGAGCACCCGGCAGACCAACTCCCCGTCCATTGCGTCATTTTCATCGCACGTTATCACCGAGGCTCTGCCGCCAATCGCCGCCCCGATTATGTACACTAACCACGTAAGTTGACCTGGAAAGAAAGGCTAGTTATTATTGACTAACAGTAAACATGGTGTGCTAACAGTATACGTGGTACAGTCATGCTGCAGCTATAGTGGTTGTAGCACGAACATGTCGGCTCGACCGGGGAAGGGTCGCCCTCTCAAGGAATACCAGCGTAAATTAGCAGCTTCATGCTGCTATGTTAAATATAGTGAGTATACAGAACCGAAGATACTTTTTACTAGAAACGACGCATTACATCTCAGGCGTGACAATATAACTATACTTTGATTTTAATTGAGGATAAATGTAGGAGTCTTATGTGCATTTAGAGTCTTAATTAAAGATAAATGCGAATGTTAAAATTACCTTAATTTGTATTTATATATTGGAATTATGCAAATTTGTGCGAAAATACCCTACTTTCTACGTAAAAAGAGAAACTAAAAATACGGCTTATAGTTTAAGACACGGAAATAGATTATTGCTACCAACTTCTAAAATGAAGCTCTTTTCCTCAGGCCCTTACATAATGTCAATAACTGTCTATAATAAACTACCAAACTCATTAAAAAACGAAACAAATGATCATATTTTTATAAGACAATTAAAAGTGTTTCTAATCAAGAAATGTTATTATTATAGTTTATATGAATACCTGAATGACAAATGTAATAATGATAATAATAATAATAATGTCTTTATTTATCCTCTCACATAACATAAAGTAAAACAATGTAAATCTAGTAGTACAATATACAGAATTTATAATGTGAGAAGCTGGTGCCTGAAGTAGGCATATATAAGCCTGTAGTACAAGTCACCAGGTTCCCACCCCTCGAATGCTATGACATTGAATGAAAATATTCTAGGAAAACAATAGATAGATAGATAAACAAAGGAATTCTTATATTATTTAAAATTACAGCGAAAATCCAGGATAAAATACTAATTAAGAGTGTATTATGATATAATATGTATAAATACATATATGAATGTATAGTACTATATATTTATGTTCGTGTAGTGTAGTGTATAGTTTGCGCATGCACGCACGCGTGCATGTGTGTGTGTGTGTGTGTGTGTTGTGTGTGTGTGTGTGTTTGTGATTTTGGGTGTGTGTGTGTGCGTACATTATATTTATCTTGATAGGAGCGATTCCGTTAAATCATAATCTAATTTCAGTAGCCAATCATGTACGTTTTTTTTGCAATCATATTTATTTTTAGAATATATAGATAGCTTTTCATTTATTTTATTGTATAAGAATCCACCCATGTAGCAAAAGAATTTTTTTGTATATGTCTTCTTTGTTGAATATGTTGCACAAACTGTGTTTTTACGTCTAACTCCTACAAATTTATGGCGATCATAAGTAATTCCACTGTGTTGCTTCAACAAGGTATAGAGAATAAACAGCTGACGTACCGTTAGTACCTGCCAGTGTCGATAAAGAAGTTCAGTTGGATGTCTATAAGAGAAGAATCCGCAAACTTTTAAAATGGCCCTTTGTGATATTTCTACGCGCTTCATACTTGTTTTAGGAGCACCGCCCCACGAGGTGATGCAGTAAGTAAATAGACTTTGCGCTAGGGCATAGTAGATACGTGTTAAAGCTGTCTTATCTAGCACATGGCGTACATTTTTGAATATGTATATTAATTTAGATAGTCTATTGGATAATACTTCGATATGATTTTTAAAAGAAAGGTTGGAATCTATTATTATACCAAGATACTTAATGTTATGGACTAATTCTATTTTGTTACATTTACATGATTTTATATTAATATTTGAGAGACATTTGTGTGAGATCAGTGGTTTATTGATAATATGATCAAGGCGTTCTTTACGTATTGTGAAAGCAATATATTTGGTTTTTTCAGAATTCAAGGTAAGAGAATTACTTTGCAACCATTCATTCATCAAATCAAGCCCCATCTGGGCAGCATCCTGAACAGCTTCCCAGGAATTTGTAGAAAAAAAGAAGGCATGTGTCATCAGCATATGATATTATATGTCCATAAGGAAGCTGAATAGAAGTGAGATCGTTTATATAGACGAGAAATAATGTGGGACCTAGAATGCTGCCTTGGGGCACACCGTAGGTAATTAATGCCTCGTGACTAATGTAATCTCCGATTTTAGTACATTGTGTTCTATCACATAGATAATCTTTAAATAGAGCAAGTTGCTTTCCTCTAATACCACATAATTCCAACTTTTCTATTAGAATGCAGGTAGACACAGTGTCAAACGCCTTGGCGAGATCCAAAAATATTCCAATAACTTTATTATTTTTGTCCAAATTTTTAACTACGTAATCTGTTAAGTCGTGCACTGCTTCATCAGTGGATCTGCCCTGCCGAAAACCAAACTGGTTAGGGGATAGAAGTTTTTTACTTACTAAGTAGTTCGTGAGTTGTTTGTTTATAATTCGTTCAATTATTTTCGAAAAACATGGAATAATTGAGATCGGTCGATAGTTGCCGACATTTTCTCTGTCTCCAGATTTATAAATTGGATGAATAATAGACCGTTTAAAAACTTGAGGAAATACACCTTCATTAAAACAAAGATTACATATATATGTCAATGGCCCAACAATATATTCTTTAATTTTTTTTATAAAACAGTTAGAGATATTGTCCCATCCATTAGCACATTTGTTTTTTAGGCTCATGATGAGTCTGGAAACTTCTTCTTCGTCAGTTTCGAGTATTACAAAGGACGACGTACAGTTCTGTATTGATCTAATTGCTAAAGAACTTGTAACCCTTTCCTTAACTGCAATATTATCAGCAAGTTGTTTACTTACATTTACAAAATAATTATTAATTGAATTGATAGCCTCTTGAGGTTTCTTTGCGCTGTTAAGCAGTTCGGTGGAATCAGTTTTCATTTTCGTGGTATTTGATATCTCTTTAATGGTTTCCCAAAGCTTTTTATTATCTTTACCTGCTTTACTAATTTTATCTCTATAATAAGCCATTTTAACTTTTTTAATCATGGAGTTACAATAATTTCGATATCTAGTATATGTTATTTTTATGATATTATTGTCAGGAAAAGATTTGTATTTTTTAAATAAATTATCACGATTTCGTATACATTTTAAAATTCCTACTGTAATCCAGGGTTTAATAGGTCTTAAGCGGTTCGAAATTGTAGCTTTAATTGTATTCGCTATTAATAATTGTTGGAAATATGATACAAAAAGTGTAGCAGCCTCATTTGCGTTAGAACATTTGAATACAAAATCAAAGTTATTTTGTTCTAATTCTAGTTTAATTTTGTCATAATCAATTTTTGTTCGAGTTCTAGATGTTAAATTATTTTTTTGCTTGGTGTTTAAACATAATATCACAGCTTGATGATCAGTTACCGTCGAATTACACACTACTGTAGTGGCTGCCATAGTTGACCGCATCATAACGTGATCTAAACAAGCATTGAGCCTAGTAGGCATATTATGAGCAGGAAGAAGTCCGTGAAATGCATTTAGATTAAGATACTCAGTTGATCTGTTATCCGTTGTATAATTTGCTATATCTATATTTATATCGCCCATCACAGATAAGTTTTTATGGGAAGACAACGACGTAAGAATTACATTTAAAGATTGTAAAAACAAGTCTACATTTTGAAAGCTAGGCGAACGATAAATTGCAACTATAGCAATACTTTTGTGTTTTATTACCACACAGTTTCCTTCAGAAAACATGGGTTCCGTAATTAAAACCCCAATATCATTTTTGTAATAAATTACGATACCATCATTTTGGTTATAGGTCTTTATAGACTTGTAATATGTGTAGCCAGGTATTTGTGGTATTATGGAATTACACAATAGCCAACACTCGGTTAAAATAATAATATCACATTGTATTCTAATTTGCGTTAAAAGAACTAGGAAGTCATCTATATTACGTGAGATACTGCGAATGTTTTGTTGTATTATTGTGAGGCATGTACTTTCGTCAATATTTAATAAATAGAAGTTTTGTGTATCGCATCTCGCCGTATCCGATACAGTAACATTGTCAACATTCTGTGTAATTTCATTTAAATTATTGAATTTTATAAAGAGATAGCTGCTTATTCCAATCAATTGATGCCGATATATTATACATAAGTAATGAATATTGTGTAAAAAATAAACCAAAGTATATTATTATAAGAAAGTAATAACGAATTTTAAACACAAAAAAGTCTAAAAATACTAAACAAGGTTAGATGCACTATTATTTTGTTGAAATTCCTAATTTTTTTTATTTCATTAAGTAGTAGGTAAGATGAAAGTGCATGCCTTATATAATTTGCGGGTATAGTAACCAATGGACGCTCTAAGATATACATTAGCAGTTTATATTCCACCAAAAACAAACCAAGACTTATGAATGCAATATACTGCTTAACACAGGGAAATTTATTTATAACCACAATAGGTAATAATACATTTAGAGTAATGAGAAGCATTTCAAACGATTGGGATATTGTGATAATTATTCGTATTGTTTTATGGAAATATTTTTTTATTGGTCTTATAATTATAGTCAAAGTCTGTAAAGCACGACAATAACACATGGATTTATAACGAATACCAATTATTGCCTTCAATTTATTATCGCAAAAAAACTAATATTAAGTATGGGAATTCAAATATAATTTGAAAGAAGGTGTAGTATATTTTAATAACACAAAGTACTGTTTTTTTATTCACTCCATCGTAATAAAATGTAAGCATACGTTTGGTTTTGTAAATATAATTAAATTTTTTATTTTCTGTAAATATAATAGGCAGAAGTTTATGTTTTATGCGTAAAAAGTATGAATGTGTGTTGCAATGTAAAATATAATATATAATTATGTTAATAAAAGTAAAATACAGAAAAAGCATGCAAAAGTGTACCATCTTATACTCGTATATAATAGACCAATCAGAAAATGGAGCAATATTTATTTTGTTCACTGAGCCTAGTCACTTCAGTCTGTTTAATATATCTTCCTTAGAAAAATTTTTCCGTA